GACAGATAACATTTGGAGTTTTACAACAGTCTAATTTTAATGTTTTAATGTGTTACATATCTTTATACATCCATATGCAATGCTGAAAATTGTCCTTATTTTGTTTTTTTTGTCCATTCCCCTAAAAAAAATCAAATAAAATCTTTATTTGAAAAGGTGCATTGAACAAAATATTTACTTTAAATAAGTTTTCTCCAGTTTAAAGCCACACATTTTTTATTTTTATTGTTGCTGTGCACTTTTGTGATCAAATGAGTGTTTTATAAGTGTCCAAAAGTTGGTGTAAAAGAACTATCCATCCATCCATCCATTATCTTTTTTTACCCGCTTCTTCCAATTTTTTGGGGTCACGGGGATCGCCGGTCCCTATGTCCAGCAATCACTGTGCGAGGGGCAGGGTACACCCTGGACAAGTCGCAAGTCCATGACAGGGCCACATAGAGACAAATGAGACAAACAACCATTCACGCTCTCACCATAACCATAGCTGAGGCCGCTGCAGTAGTTGCAGGGCGGGGTATGCGATTGGGGGCCCGTTGCTATGGGCTGTTCGGTCCCTTTACAAGTGGCGCAAGTGTTTGGTTCACATTGTTGGTAGTAAGTCGAACCCCTTAAGGGTGGGAGTTGGACTCTGTCATGGTTGCCCGTTGTCACAGATTGTGTTCATAACTTCCATCCATCCAGTAGCCCTCACCCCGATAGTCACTAAATGCTTCGTAAGACTGGTCATGACCCACATCAAAACAATTATCAACATCAGCGAGGACCTTGTGTTGTGTCCTCTTCTCTACCCATGGTGCCAAAAACCTTTAAACATGCTGCTGTCCAGCCACTCCTGAAAAAAACAAACCTTGACCCCTCAGTCGTTTCCAATTTCTGGCCAGTCTCCAAACTCCCATTTGTTTCTAAAATACTGGAGAAAACAGTTGAGTCCCAGTTGAAGTGCTTCCTGGAGGATCACGCCATCTTAGAGCTATTCCAATCTGTCTTTTAGGTTGCTTTCACACCTTATAGTCCGGTAGACTCGGTTCGGGACCAATATTCATGACCTTTTGTTTACATTTGAGCTGGTGCGTTTGCATTCACACTGCACTGTGCAGTCGAGTCAACCTGTTGAATCAACCTATTCTCCCACTTGCCTGTGGGGGTGCTGCACCAAGAACTACTGAAAGAAACGACACAAAAATCTCTGAAGACACGTCTTCTTCTTCTGTAAATAAAAATAAAAACGAAGTGGCATCAAGTTTTAGCAGTTTTAGGAGTTATATTTTGTCATTTTTCAAAAATGGAC